AACAGGATACAATGACTCTATGACAAACACTATGACATTGAGTGTAAAACAGTTTGATGTTTGTTACTGGGATAAACATCTTCATTGGTCCCTTAAAATCAGTGACAGCAAAGCCAGTCGATTGCTTAATGACACCAGTACTTGATCACTGCTCATTAGCTAGTCCATTTTGCTAGTATATAGTAATAAATGAACACTTGAAAGGACTCTGTGAGTACAGTATTTGCATTTTTTCTAGATCTTTCGAAGTGGTAAATGAATAGCTCTACTATTTTTTATTTTATTTTTACTGACTGAATATGAGTTTGATTTCTATGCAAGTACATAATACTTGATTTCTGGCATTGTTGTGGTTTGGAATTCAATAGACTTTGCATTCTAAGCAGTGCCACAAGGGGCACTGTTAACATAAACTGTTCTCATTTTCAATTTAAAGCTAAGCTGAAAGCAAATTATGTTCACTTCAGTGACAACATTCTTTGCTTAAAATCTTCAAGTTGGAAAGTTTGATTAGAAATAGTTTGCAAGAGTGAAAGTTTAAACGCAAGGGGAGTCATTTTTGGATTTGTTGATTAGCTCATTTAGCTACTTGTTAGCTTCTTCAGGGCTTTTAAAACTTTGTGTGGGCTAGGGCTGTGTGATTTGAGTAAATCCTAATTGAGATTTTAAAAAAAATTTTCTTTTCTTTTTTACAGATATTACGATTTCGATTTTTTTGTCAATTTTGTCATTTTGTAGTTTAACTTCAGCCTAATATTGTATCGTTGCTTCTAACTGCTAAAAAAGGAACTGAAAAGATACTACTTTTATTGAACTTTTGTTTATAAATATTCAGAATTTAAATGAATTTTCTCTAGAGCAAACTGTAGTGAGTTATGGCTAGGGCCAGATGGAATCTGCGGACATTTTTTGCTATTTCTGCAGAAAATTTTGGTAAAAATCTGCGGATTTCTGCTGATTTATTCTGGGAATATTATAACTAAAACCTTAATTTGTGAAATAAAAAATAATATCTTTTGAACTTTAATGTTTAAAATGCAAATCCAATTAGATTCACTTTATTTGGTAAACAAAGCAAATATCTCATATAATATTTCTACTTAAAGACAGAAAATAATACTGTACAAACTGCATTGTACATGAATCAGATGAATATTTTCACATGAGTAAATAATATAACTGTAATTAATGTAAAAACTGTATAAATACAGATTTAAACACATTTACTCAATTAAATAAACAGAATTAATGATGGGATAGAAATCTGCGAAAATCTGCATAAAATCTGCGTAATTCTGCGCGCACAAATTCCTAGTTATGGCGTTAGTTATTTCCTGTTTGTTTTGTCATATGGTGCAACAGCTGCAAACAACTCTTAACTTTGCTGTTGCTCTCTACTATTGAGTGTCACTGGCAATCCTTTTTTTTTTACTTTTAGCAAGATGCTCCTTATATATCCCGTAGTGCTTTTTTAGGTGCTGGTTGTAGTATTTCCTCGTGCTGTGTCAACAATTTTGCGACAGCTCTTACAAATCACGTGTTTTTGTTTGTTGTCTGTGACTTTGAAACCAAAATATGCCCCTATTACTGATATACTGTTTTTCTTTGATATGAATCTGTCTTTTAATGCTTCTGAAGTGAAAGATACCATCATCCCACTTGTACACGCTTTATTGTTTGTGGGCTTGCCACATAGTATGATTGCGCAATTCTGATTGGACAGAACAAAAGTGTGCTCACTCAATTGTCTAGTAAGACTGTCATACACATACTGCAGTCACACATTTGCTCTGGGTAGGGAAAATTATATAATACATATGTATTTCATATCACAGGCTCTTGCGATTCGCTAATCAGAACGTTTCATATCATGATTGCGATTCGATTTCGATTAATCACACAGCCCTAGTGTGGGGTATTACTGATGTATTTACACAGTAGATTAAATGTAAACACATATTGAGCTTGTGCTAACCACGGACCTTTTTAAAAACATTTAATCAAATCCTTAAAAAATTGAAGTTGTTTATGGTTTTGAGGACTTCTTAATGTCATCTTCTTAATGACAAATTTAAGGAAGCACACTCTTTCAAAATGTTAGCCATGCATCTGTTTGTGTAAATTTTCATACATATTTCCTTCAATATAATCATGTGGCAGTCTATGAGTTCCTGTGTATTTATGTTTAGCGGCTAATTCCTTTAAATTCATACAATCTCATCTGTATGTTTTCATGCGTATGCCCAGTGATGCTTATATAGTAGTGTGTGTTTTTATTTGAATTGTACAATCTTATTTTCATTAACAATTAGTCACCAGTTCATAAAAGTTAAAATAGTTACATCTTCTTGTGAGACTTGGCTCGTTTATTGATCTTAATTGTCTTATCAGAGTTTCAAAACCAGATTCTCATTCTGCTCAAGTCAAGTAATGATTATGTTAGAGGCAGGCCTTCATGCTTTCCTTTTTTTTTAATGGTCTAATATCATTTGAGATTGTTAGATTGTACAAGTTAGCCACTAAATTGCAGGAATCTGAATTATTAGTTTTATCATGAGATATTATCATTTTTCCCCCCCAAAACTCCAAATTGTCTGATCTGGGTTTAAAATTCATTTAGTTTTTTATGTACATTTCAATCCCTTGTATTATTAGTATCGCAATCATATATTTGGGGACATTCTGCTCATCCGCATTGGCAGTTGTGATTAAGGGTGGAATTTTGGGCTTAATGTTTTTTTTTTTTTTTAACCATAACATTTTATACAAATTTGCAAATTGTAAAATAGTTTTTCTGTGAGAGTGTCCCAGATTGTCTGATATGAATTTAATGTTCTGATTTGTACATTTTCTTACAATTTATTCAAGAATTTGATTATGTTTAGGCGTGGGCTGTGAGTCCAAGAAGTGTTCTTTTGCTCCCAAATGGTCAGATCTTATTCCATCTTGAAAAAACACGAAATAATCAAATTTAGATCTGATATTAGCATCGATTTAAACATACATTATGCAAAGGAATTCATTTACTATCCTGCCATTTGAAAAGTGTGCTTGGCTTGCTAGTGGGAAAGCACTTTTGTTAACTAGCTCACATAAAGTCAAGTGTGCTTGACTGCAGTGGCAAGGCTATTTGATTGCGTGGTAAAGCTGTGAGTGTAGCCTTGATGCACAGCATCTGATCAGAGTAAATGGTGGCCTGCTCTTTTCTTTCCGAGTCTTTTCAGCATGCTATTCCCTTTAGCCTGCCCTTGACTCATGTCAAAATGATACACGAGCATGTAAACTGACAGTATGTCTGCATAGTGCTTCATAAAAGATGGTGTCTGTATTCAAGATTTATTATTTGACACAGTATAGGAACAGATTTATGATTTTTCATCATGCTGTTCCTGATCATGTGCAAACCGACTACTCATGTCAACCACCCATGCTAATTTCTGTACACATTTCATGTGCATCTATGACTGTCATGTAGCTTTTAAGTATGAACATTCAAGAAAATAGTTGAACAGCACCAAATATTAGGCCAAAAAAGCAGCTGATATTAGCGTGTGTTTGTGAGTTTACAATGCTCACGATTGAATGCACCTCGCAAAACAGTTCTGCTCACCATACGCTCAGTATCTGACCAAACACCTTAGCTGCGTCCAAAATGGCACACTATACACTATGCACTCATGCACTATGTACTTATGCACTTACACACTCAACAGGATAGTATATGTACATAGATATATACACTAGATATCGCATAGGGACCCTGAGCATGCGTCAATAGCGCCGCCACATTGGTACAGTGCTCCCATGACAAATGTCATTCAACCGCACTAGTCAACACAGTGTTATTACGTGAAGATGTTAGACTTTAGCGCTGTGTACGGGTGTAGTAACGAGCAAACAAAGAAAACAAAGCACAAAGGCAGAACATTTCATAGGTAATATTAAGTTTTTACGTTTTTGTATGTTCTGAACTTTTGTGCTGAACAGGTCACGTTATTGATGATAATACAGTCACTTACTGCATTCACCATGAGGCAAAGTAGCTCCAACTCGCACTAAATACTCGGCTTATGCTAGTTTTGTTGAATAAAATCAGCAAACAATGCAAAAGAAATATGATAACAAGATGCTGCACTGTCAGAAACTGGTATTATTGTCGACTAGTGAAAGAGTCGTTCATAATGGAGATTCATTCACAAACAAATCGCTCCCTCTGTCAGTATGAGAAGTGAAAGCAGGAGAGGAGGTGTGTTTCAGGCCACAGATTAGATCAGATTTAACAGGGAGGGTGAATAGTATATTTCTGTACACACAAACACAAGCTTTTTGTCAGAAATGCCTGTGCAATCACTGATCCATCAATGTAGAAAAGTCTTGTAAAATTATAATTTTCATACTTAAAAAAAATTTTGAATACCAACATCTAGGAAAACTCCCGATCACAGATATATGTGTATATGTGTATATCTCTGGCTTTGGATGGCCACAGTCCTCCACTGTACCTTGGTCCCGCATTCATTTCAATGAAGCGCTACCCTGTTCCAAAATGGCGGCTCAACTGACGCATTCCTTCCAATAGACAACAACAGGGTAGGCGACATCTAATGTATATATCTATGGTATATGTATGTAATGTCGTCCCAAATGGCACACTTATGTTTTTTTACTAAGCGGAAATTCAAACCGTTTCCCTGATGACCTTTGACGGTCGCCAAATCAGTGAAATAAACAACCGAATTATCAAATAATACCTGCCGTTAGTATTATCGCATTCACCATCGAGAGGCGATATAATCACTCTCGTAGGAGAAATTTTGCTTTCACCATCCAAAATAAATAAAGTTATCCAACATGTGCATCTGATAGCTCCGCCCCTTCTGCTACGTAGGCAAACCTGCGGTCGTTGAGTGCGTGAAGTATCCATCATTCCACACTTCATTTTACCGGCTGAATGAGTGCATCATCCGGGTAATTAAAGTGCACTTACTATTTTCAGAGTTTTCAGTGTGAACACACTACTTACACTATTTATACTACAAAATGGCCTAGAATAGTGCATAAGTATGCAATTTAGGACACATCTCTTGATCCCTACTCCAATAAGCCAGCAGTCTCATAACCCGATCCAATAATCAAACCCACCTAATATCTCACAATCCAGGCCGATCGCCTTCAAGTCCAACCCAGAATTCATAGGAACGACAGCCTGACAACTTACATTTAAAATACGGACACCAAAAAATATATTATTTCCAAATAAACTCTCCATATGAAAAAAAAATAGACAATGAACAAAAAAAGCGACATCCATGCCGTTTAACCAAAATGCATAGGCATCAAAAACAACGGTGTTTTCTCAATGGAATTACTGCACGTATTTCACCACACATTATTATAGATTATTTCCCCAGACACACGGATGAGTGCCAAATATAGAAACACCCCCCTCCCCCCCAAAAAAGGATAGAAAATAAATAGAAATACCATTTCAAAGAGGACAAATATCATCTCATGGGTAAAAGTGTTCTATTTTCTTTCTTAGATCTCATTCAGAGAGTTCTTCTTTAAAAAAACGCTAATCATATTTAATATTAAGACAGTTATCTCCCATATAAAAATATCAAATATAAACAGCAACCCTTTACTGTGCAGTCCTGCTAGCTGTCGATCAGTATTTGGACTCCCCCTCCACCCCGTTTCAGTTCGTGTAGTATCTCCATGGCTGTAGTTTGCTGGTCACTCTTTATATAGCAGTGTCCCAGAAGACAGTGGTTTGGGTGGAGTACGGAGGAGGCCCGTATTTCTTGCTCCCGTTGGTCTTTTTCCAGCTGGGCAGGATGGGCATGCTCTCCTGCTTGCACAGGGCTTTGTCTGGACACCTCTGTCTGGATTTGATCTCCTTGCACAGGTGGCGTTTCTTCTCGATCATCTCCATCATGGTGCTGTCCCCACATGCCCAGGGCATTGGGGGCATCTAATGGGCGGCAAGGGTGAGATAACATTGATGCATGCAGAGCTGGCTTTTGAGTTTTGCAGCTCATATATCATTTTTGAAGGCGTTCACAGCTTCTTTAATATTACAGAATGGGTCCCACTTTATATTAAGTGGCCTTAACTAACATGTACTTACATAGGAACTAATAGTTTGTTACAATGTACTTATTGTGTAAATACATGTATTTACTGTGTACTTATGCTTGATTAAATACATGTATGTATTTACATCTGTAATTAACTTCTGTAATTACATTTGTAAATACACTGTTGACCATCCCTTACACCTTAACCTACCCTTCATCCTACCCATGCCACCAAACCTGTCTATAACCCAACCTCTATTCCAACTCAAAAGCACCACAGGTGTTCTCAAATACATTATAAACACAGTAAGTACATTGTTTTATTTTTTTGATGTAAGTACATAGTAGTTAGGGACACTTAATATAAAGTGGGACCACAGAATGTGTTCAATTATTTATGTAGTTTAATACAGTCGGAGTGGTACTGGCATTGAGTTTAATTCTCTCGCACACACACACACACACACACACACACACACACACACACACACACACACGCACACACACACACACACACACACATACACACAATATATGCCCATGCATCACACTAATTAAAAGAATAAACATTTATATAGGCAACACAAAATTTTATAAGCACACACTATGGCTCTGTTTCAATACCTAGTGAACTGAATACTGTATATAGGTATATAGCTGCCTTCTAAGGGTATATTTACATGACAATGAAATTAAAAAGTTTTGTTTCTTACACTAATTAATATTCGTGGTAATTAAGATTGTTTATTTATGGTGAATTGCATTATCAGATGTTGATCTCCCCTGTAGGCACAGTACGTCAATGATGTCAGATTGACGTTGTACCCCAACGTTGTGGGACATTGCATTTTGGGTGGAAAGGAAAATCGGGTTGATGTCGGACAGACATTGAATTTTGGTCACTTTCCAACGCAACCTAAAAACAACCAAATATTAACGTCTAATGATGTTACATATTGATATTTTGTGGAGGTTACCAATATAACGTCTATCAGACTTTGGATCTTGATTTCCATACCTGATGAATAAATGTCTATACTGGCTCGACATTGGATTTGGTCAGTTAGCAAGGCAATCTTAAAACAACCAAACATTAACATCATTTGACATCATTATTGGTCATTAAATTGTACACAATTTTAGTCACCTGACATCACAACCTAAATCTAACCTAATATTAACGTTTTATAATGTTGTGTGCCTGCTGGATCTGCTCTGCCGACTTTTGACGTTAAAAACTGCAGTATACAAAGTGACTTGTATTGACATTTTACAGGGTATCGTGAGGTCTTAGGAAGTCTTAAGACGTCTTAAAGTTCAAAAACAAAATTTTAGGCCTTAACAAGTCTTAAATTAAATTAAACACAAAGGCTGCAGGCAGCTCAATAGAAACCCCACCTCTGCTTTTATTTGATTGTGGAATGAAAAAGACGTGACTGACGTAACATGCTTTTTCTGCTCAGAATTGAATTTTTTCAACTGCGAGCACACAGCACAATGGCAAAAACGAGAAGCACAGCAGGCGGTTAAAACGCGAGGAGCGCAGGGTGCATAAGCAGCAAGCAAAATGCTCGCGGTCGTTAGTAAACCATTCAAAAAAGGCACCTCTCAACGCAAAAAGCACACTCGGTGTGATTGGTCTCTTACAGGGACATACATTAAAAAAAGTTACGGGCGAGTTACTTTGAAATATTTCTAACATAATGACACATTGGATAAAATAGCCACACCACACGCAACAACTTGATCTTTCATTGTTAAATGAATTTTATAAAAAGTGTGCAACATTTTCACGCTAGAAAGCACGTTTTTATGTGGGAATGTAAGTGATTTGCTGATATGCTGCAAAGACCTCTTTAAATAAGAGGACAATGTAGCCAACTTTGATGCTTTCGCCGGAGGAGCAGTAAAGACAGACAGCGCTGTGGCCAGAACGAACTTTGACACTCTTACTGCCTTCGGTGTGAACGCACAGCTATTGTTTTCAAAAACATTGTCTTTAAAAGTTGGCGTTTAACTATGTTATTGTGTACAATTATGACAAAAAAATTTAAAATTACATTTTAGTTACAAATGTGTGTAAACATTCCCTAAGAGAGCATTCTAAATGTCACGAAACCACATGGGTAGTTTGAAACACTGGCTGTTTCTCAATTCCAAGAACGCAGAGAACGGACTTGCATTCTTGTGAAGACCGCTCTTGCCAGGTGTCCTTGGAAAAACAAACTCCCTTTTAACAATATATACTATGCATAAGAACTTTACAAATACATGCTGCAAAATAAAAATAAATCCATTTTAATACAAATTTTACCAAATAAACACCCTTAATGTGTTTATTCCTTTATTAAGATTTTCATGGTAATGTTTACATTCACCGTTTCATTTAGGGAAACTCCTGCGATAAATAATTTATATCTCTGAACTTTAAAAATAAACCTATACAAAATGCTGCGCTTCCCACCTCCAGTCGCAATGACTTCTGGGACTACTAGATCGAGTTCAGTGCTCAAGTCTGCATCCATGCGTCCTCGATATCAAGAACGCATGTGGGAAGTTTCTCGCGTCCTCCGTTTGTGCGGTCTCAAGTTTTGGAACTGAACTTTGGCAGTTGATGATGACGTTACACAAGAACAAGAGGGCGCAAGACGGCAGAAGAACTCATATTGAGAAACAGCCACTGACTCTACAAAGGCAGACATTTTTGTGTCATACAGCATGTAGCAATGCATTGTGGGATTGTCCTCTACACGAATGCATGCACTGCTGCCTAAACAAAATGAGATTTGCTGACTAGGTTTTGTAACAGAGCATATACCTCAGACATGCACAGACACACACACATACACACACACACACACACACACACACACACACACACACACACACACGGTTGTGCTTTTGAGGAAGAAAGCAGCAGACAGACACAGAAAATACAGTGGAGAAGAAGATATTACTTTTGAAGGTTTTATTTAGCTTTTTGTTTTGATGGGGTTAGTTTTATCCCTCGAGTTTAAGGTTTTATTTGGGTTAGTTCAATTACAGTCACTAACAATCAAAGACATACTGGGGAGTGAGAGCGGATCAGATAACATACGAAAGGCTTTTTATTATGCTATTATTATACACCGAGATAAAGAAATAGCATGGCTGCTCTGTGTCTAATGTGTGTCAGATATCTGGTTTGTATTGGATTGGATTGTGTCCCTATAAAGAGAGGGCGTGTGGCTTTTGTAAGACGTGATATAATGAACATGTTTTGGTAAGTGTGTGTATTAAATCGTGTAACTGACTCCCCAGCCTCTTGTGAAAGTGACGTCAATGTGAAAAGCAATCATTGGTACAGGATTATTGTACATAATACAGTCGCTCTAAAACGGGTTCAAGTAAGGCCACACAGACAAAACAGGAGAGAGCAGTTGACATCTGACACTGATATAAATGCCACATCTAGATACAAATATACACACATCAAACAGACTCCATAGAAAATGCTGAGCGCTTTCTTTTGTTTAAAGTGATGCTTTATGGCTCGGTCTCTTGAAGATTAAATAAGCACACATAAGGTGAAATGAATGAAATTACAGTAAACTGCTGTTCAAGGGTTTGGGGTTTGTAAGATTTCTATTTAAAATAAATTAATACTTTTATTGATGCGTAATTAATTTTTTTTTGGTATTATTAATATGCAAAGATGTATAAAACTGATTAAAATGTCAGTAAAGACAAAATGATTTAAAGAAATTATGGGCTTTTTAGTTGTCTATTCATTAAGAATTAGTTTATAGATTTTAGCACAAAGTTTAGCTTGTTGTTATCAATCCAATTGGAATGCTGCTTGGATCAGTTCTTGCTCAATTAGCTTTTTTTAGCACAGTGATTAGCATGTTCGCTTAATGCTAGCATGTTTTTTAGATAAATTTAACATGATGGTAAGTAAATTAGAATGCTGTTAGCTATTGTTAACACAATGCCAAGTTTAGCATGTTGGTAGCAATAAAATTGGAACGCTGCTTGGATCAGTTCTTGCTCAATTAGCTTTTTTTAGCACAGTGATTAGCATGTTTGCTTAATGCTAGCATATTTTTAAGATAAATTTAACATGATGGTAAGTAAATTAAAATGCTGTTAGCTATTGTTTACACAATGCCAAGTTTAGCATGTTGGTAGCAATCAAATTGGAATGCTACTTGAATCAGTTCTCACAATTAGCTTGTTTTAACACTATGATTAGCATGTTAACATAATGCTAACTAATTTATAATGCTGCTACAAAATGTAGCATTTTGGTAGCAATCAAATCAGCATGCTGCTTGGATTAACTTACACAATCAGCTTGTTATTAGCACAATGATTAGCATTGTTAGTGTAATGCTAGAATAATTTTAAAGAAAAATATAACATTATTAACATGATGCTAACTAATTTTTAATGCTGCTAGCTTAATGTTAGCACAAAGTCAGGTTTAACATGTTGGTAGTAGTCAAATTGAAATGCTGCTTGGATCAGTGTTCACACAATTAGCTTGTTTTTAACACAATAATTAGCATGTGTGCATAAAGGTAGCATATTTTTAAGATAAATTTATTATTAATATGATGCTAACTAATTTAGAATGATGCTAACTTAATGTCAACAATGTTAGGTTTAATGTGTTGGTGGTAATACAATTAGCATGCTGCTTGGATCAGTGCTCACACAATTAGCTTGTTTTAACATCGATTAGCATGTTAACATAATGCTGTACTATTTTTAAGAAAAATGTAACATTATTAACATGATGCAAACGAATTTTGCATGCTGTTAGCTTAATGTTAATGCAATGTCAGGTTTAGCACAATGGTAGCAATCAGATTAACATGCAGCTTGTATCAGTGCTCACACAATTAAATTGTTCTTCACACTGATTAGCATGCTAGCATAATGTTAGCATATTATTTGGAGATAAATTTATCATTGTTAATGTGATGCTAAGTAATTTAGAATGCTGCTAACTTAATGTTAACACAATGTCAAGAACGTACCAATCAAATTAGATTGCTGCTTGGATCAGTGCTCCCACAAGTAGCTTGTTATTAGCACAATGATTAGCATGTTATTGTAATGCTAGCATGATTTTAAAGAAAAAAAATTCATATTGTTAACTTGATGCTAACTAATTTACAATGTTGCAAGCTAACATTAACACTTTGTCAAGTTTAGCATGTTGGTAGCAATCAAATTAGAATACTGCTTGGATCAGTTATCGCACAATTAGCTAGTTTTAACACAATGATTAGCATGTTAGCAAAGTGCTAGCATATTTTTTCAAGAAAAATGCAACATTATTAACATATGCTAAAAAATGTATAATGCTGCTACAGAATGTAGCATGTTGGTAGCAATCAAATCAATATGCTTGGATCAGCTCTCACACAATTAGCTTGTTTTTAACGCAATGATTATCATGTTAGCATAATGCTAACACATTTTTAAAGAAAAATGTAACAATAACGTGATGCTAACTAAATTATAATGCTGCTTGCTTAATGTTAACACAATGTCAAGTTTAGCATGTTGGTAGCAATCAAATTAGCATGCTCCTTCAATCAGATCTTGCACAATTAGCTTGTTTTAACACAGTGATTAGCATGTTAGCATGATGCTAGCATGATTTTAAAGTAAAATGTGACATTAACATGATGTTAACTAGTTTAGAATGTTGCTAACACAACTGGTTAACACTATAATATTATAAAAAAGCATGTGTGTCATGTAGCTGGGTGATGCTAACCTCGTTTAGCTTGACACTAAAACATTTTAAACTGAGCAAGGAAGTGGCAATTGTTATATTGGTTATGTGGCCCTTTATTGGCCTTCAATCACTCAAATGAATTATAAATAAAAATCTTGCTGACCCCAAACTTTAACAATTTTGTATAGACATATAATCAACTGTATTTAGCGGTCCAAATTAACATTTTTTTTAGAAACTATCAGTCAACTGGTTGTTTATTTCAGCAGGTTTTTGTACACGACGTGATGTCTTTGCTTTGGATTCATAATCTTGCATTTCGGAATTTCATGTCTCCATAAACAGCTTCTATGTTTGATGTCTGTACATCTGAGCAGTGTCTGAAACATTGAGATAGAGACGAAACAGACTGAGGATGCTGTTGGTCGAGAGTAAAGCTGCCCGCCGTCGCTCTCAAAAGGCTCTCGTTCAGATTCACATCAGTCAAACCTTCTCTCAAGTGCTTAAACTGCCAGATATATAAAACCCTGATTGTAGATCTCTTGGCATAAACTCACTGAGGGCAGATTAACCCTTGTGTACTGCTCAAATTGACTACCCTTTCATTATGTTGGTGGCTGTTTTTGCCCCATTGACTTCTATTATAATGACATTTTTTGATTGCAAAGTCCCAGAGTGGATGAAAACATCCTCAACAGCACACAAATGTGAGAGCCTCTCCAGAGCATGATCGCAAGACAGCCTTGATCTGGACCGAACACAAACAACACACACAAACGCATCTACGTTGACAGATGATGAACCACGCCGAAAAAAGCGCACAGCAGCAGAAGCGGCAGAGCAGCAGACAGGAGAGAATTTACACACAGCCATGGGGGTCAGAGGTCAAAGACACGGAGACAGGAGCCCACAACTCCACACGCATGCCATCTCGCATCACTCTGAGGAATAAGGGGGTTCTACCTGGAACGGCGTCCCGCACGGAGGGGCCGAGGCGTCTGGTGCGTGTCTTTGGGGTGTTCCCACTGGAGACGGGACTCCTGATGTGGACGCAGAGCGACCGAGTTTACAACCGGCTTTTGGTTCTATAAAGGTAGAGAAAAAGATGCCATGAAATCACATTGAAAACACTGCATTCTTACAATGCCTGAGAATGGGAAATTGTTTAACTGGGTTGTAAAATTGTGAGGACTCTTTTCACATTATTTCGCAGTGTTGGGTTGCAGCTGGAAAGGCATCCGCTGCATAATACATATGATGGATAAGTTGGCGGTTCAATTCGCTGTGGCGACCCCAGGTTAATAAAGGTACTGACCCGAAAAGAAAATGAATGAATGAATGTTTTCACATTAGCAGTTTATGATAAAAGTGTTTTGGAGTGTCTTAAGTGATGGAAACAGATTAATTTCATGATGCTTATATATGTATAAAATAGAACTTGCCAATTATTTATTATTTATTTGTTTATTTATTTATGCATTTATTTTCTTATTTATGCAGTTGTTATTGTTATAATATGGTAACAGAATTTTTATTATATATTTGTATTAATTTATTACATATTTGATTAAATAATAATATTTGTTATTAAAATGATGATTATGAAATACTTAATATTTTATTTATTTGTGCATTTATTTAGTTATACATTTATTTATTTATTTTTGCATTTATTTATGCATTTATTTATTTATGCATTTATTATTGTTATAATATGTTAACAGAATTTTTATTATTATGATTATGAAATACTTAACATTTTATTTATTTGTGCATTTGTTTGCATTTATTTAGTTATGTATTTATTTATTAATTAATGTTTTTGCGTTTATTTATTTATTTATTTATGCATTTATTATTGTTTAATACTGTAGCATAATTTTTATTATATATTTGTATTATTTATTACTTGTTTGGCTAATTAATAATAAATAAGTATTAAATGATGATTATGAAATAACATTTTATTTATGCATTTATTTCGTTATGCATTTTTTATTAATTTATTTTTGCATTTATTTATTTATGTATTTGTTATTGTTATAATATGGTAACATAATTTTTATTATATATTTGTATTAATGTATTACATATTTGTTTAAATAATAAATAATAATTATTAAAATAATTATTATGAAATACTTAACATTTTATTTCTTTGTGAATTTATGTACACATTTATTTAGTTATGCATTTATTTATTTATTTTATTTATGCATTTAATATTGTTATAACACTGTAACAGAATTTTTATCATATATTTGTATTAATTTATTACATATTTGGTTAAATAATAATTATTATGATGATAATGAAATACTTAACATTTTAGTATGAATTAGTAAGATTGTTAAATCTTAAATATATATTATCATTTTATATTTGATTAAATATTCATTAATATATACATTTAAATTATCATAAAGTTCTTTATTACTATTATAGTGTGACACATACATTTTTATTAATAAAAGTTTGATTAAATAACTACCATGTTTATTATTATTTTTATTGTCAAATAATTGTAAAATGACGATGAAATACTTCACGGTTTAATAGTAATTGGAATTTTTTGTGATACAGACTTTGTTTAATGTTTATGTTTTCAGATTTTCTCACATTAATTAGATGCAGGCGGTTCATTCTGCTGTGGCGACTTCTGAAAATAAAGACTTAACCGAAGGAAATTGCATGAATGAATGAACGAATAATTGGATGTACCTCCGAGCATGGTGGTCGGGCTAATGGAGGAGCGGCCAAAGCGACTGGGCGTGGCTGTGGGCGTGGATGATTGTCCTGTGGGCGTTTCCCAATCCTGGGATTTCGGAGAAGAGCTGCGAAGGGCTCTGTCCCTACTGTCACTTCTACCTTTACTTTCTCCTGCAAAACAGAAAAAAAGAGGTAGAGATTTCAGCATTCAGTATGACTCAGCTCTCTGTTTTCATAAGAACGATTTAGCAGTTTCATGCGTGAGTGCTTTGATCTGTAATAATACTGCTGTGTAAATATATTAACGCTAGATGTCACTACTGAGCCAAAACCATATTCAGATTCCCCAAAATGAGCCTGTTTACAAGATTGCAAAGTTATAAAAAAAACACAAAAATAATTATTTTTTTTCCACAACAGTACTAAAAAAAAAACTGGTGGTGATACAAATCTCAATTAGAAGTTGCTAGAAAACGTCACAAATAAATACACATACAGTAGACTGAATTAAGCTTGAAATTCTGATGTAGAAAGATTTAGTATTTTATTTTAAAATACCCCAAGAATCTTTCAGCATTTAAATTGCAGTTATTAAATTACAATTATATATATGAATATTAATAATACATCTTATGTTATTATTACTAGTTACTAATTGCTAATTGTATTATTTATACACACCTAATAATCAGATTTCCCAAAATGAGCAGTATACAAGATTGTATTGTAATAGAAAATACAAAAATAATTGCAATTTTAATTTAATTTAATTTTATATCTAATCTGACCAGACAAAATGCATACATAACAAAACTGAAAAACTGGTGTAGAAACAAATTTCACTCAGATATTGTTAAAAACGTCACAAATTAATACAAACAACAGTCTGAATTAAGCTTGTAATTGTTGACAGAAAGATTAAGTAGTATTTTATTTTAAAACATAGTTCAATAATCTCTTAACGTTTAAATTGTAAGCTAATTGCAACTATTAAATTACAATTATACACTATGGGCAATTTAGCCTACCCAGTTCACCTGTACCGCATGTCTTTGGACTGTGGGGGAAACCGGAGCACCAGGAGGAAACCCACGCGAACGCAGGGAGAACATGCAAACTCCACACAGAAATGCCAACTGAGCCGAGGCTCAAACCAGCGACCCTGCGACTTTCTTGCCGCGAGGCGACAGCACTACCTACTGCGCCACTGCCTCGCCCACATTAGAATATGTGGATCAGAAATAACCAAATTAGATTTTTTTTTGCTGTTGTGGCAAGCAAAAAAAGGGCCATCAGAAAACATCCTTAATATTTAGCTGTGTTTAAGTCTAAAACTTCATTCATGATAGTCTTGAAGAGGTCTTTAAAAGTTCTAAATTTCACTTTAAACCTGCAGAAACCCTGTTGCAACGTAATGTTAAAAGTTGTAACATATACATTGGTTAACCAATAGATGGCGACAAACAACCATCAAAAAATGTCACTGAATAGTTCTTCAAAAATAATACATCTAGTAACGAAAAACAATGTTTTATGAGTGAATTATTGAACCATTAATTGAAAACGAGACTAAAAAATAAATGTACAAGATTATGTTTTAAGTTTTATACATTTAGCATTATCAGCAACAGTAGCAAGTGGTTTAAACCAAAAGTTTCTTGTAGTACTGTTTTTGTAATAAATGTAAAGCAAATGACATTTGTTCGCTCCTTTTTTTTGCTGATCCAAAAAGTGGTACAATCCATGACTCAGAAACCGTAGTATGATCCCTTACACCACCACTACTATATATGCTTAAACTTGACATTTCTTAGTTATGTTTATTCCTGCGTTCCTTTCATCTTTCACACAATCAACCCCTTTTTCCTTTGTATTTTTCCATTCCATCTCTCTTTTAATCTCTCTCTCCCTCACAGGGGATCCATTAGCAGTCACATTCATCACATCTTTCACTGGCTCTGAAGACATTAGGGAAATTGCTTTACTAACAGATGAAAGCTTTTCAATTATTTCAGCTGGCAAGAGTATCTGAATGTGTGTCCGTGTCGTCTGTATAGACGCATGCTTAGCTATATTGTCTGACACTTATGGACTTATGAACTGAAGGTGACATCAGCCAGCATATCCCGTGAGTGTGTATGGTGACTGAAGCCATATGCTTATTATAAAAGTCATGAGCGACTTCAGTTCATATAGCATTTCAACTAAGATTGTGAAATGTTCCATGTAATACAGAATTGTATCATAATGCTTTTCATCGATTGCATCTCAGATTCATTTTATAACTTCAGCCAGTCCAGGAATGGCTTTCTCTCTCCATATATAATATATATACCCATATATTCTCTGTTATACAATCTATGGCATGAAATAAACCAGATGATTATTGTAGTGTGATTACAGAATGAATGCTTAATGAATTAACAGCAATGTCAACCCATGCTTTTTATTGATACGTACCCCTGTATACATTTCTGGAGATCGTGAAATACATCCCTAGAGGTACGTTTTTTTTGCAGTTTATGTTCGCATAATTTTACCAGAGGCTGCTGCCAACTGACTGACTAACTGACTGATAACCCCATCCACCCCCTTCCCTAAACCCAATCGATGGTGTTTTCAAAAGCACCAATTGACCTGAACACTCCCTTCCCTAAACACAGGCGATAGTGTTTTAAAAGCAATCCAGAAAAAGAAAAGTCCTCACTGCCGCCTGATTTTTACCACATTTTCAGATCCTACCACATTACCACAACGGACTTGGCAAACTAGTAACAGCAAAAAAGCGATCCACATATAGGTAAGCTGTCAGCTAGTAGGGCTAAAAGAAACAGAAGCCGTCAGCAGCCTCATCCTGTCCCATAGCGTTCATTTTAAAGATGAAATGCAGCCATACTTTGCTCTGACTACATAATTTGCGCTCTCCAAAAATGTATATGGGGGTACATTTTCACAATGAGTCTGTGTTGCGCAATGTAGTTTGAATACTGAATGATCACTTTGATCCTATTCTTTATAGTTAATCTTATAAATGCACATCAAGTGTAATTCAAATTGTAAATGAATGACTTTTATGAGCTTAATGTGGATTATTTTTAACGGATCACTAGAAGCTTCAACAAAATTCCTATAATTGAATAAATGATTCCTATGAGCTGATTCTTTATAGTGACTCATAAGCTTAGAGTACAGCAAATAGCATACAGTGTGATCTTTTTATAGATGAATCATGAACACAATTAATAGTTGACTCCCAATATAAATGACTTTTATGAACTAGTTCTTTTTAGTAAATCACAATGTGCCACCCAACACTTTAAGAATTGACTCTTATGAAATGATTCTTTTTTTTTTTTAATAACTGAATCATGAAGTGCATGTAGTGTACTTTGACTCCTGATTTCTGGATCCTGATGATTCGTTCAGTAGAGCAGTATAAACCAGTTTAGGAATGAATGATTCTTATGAGTCAGTTCTTTTTAACTAGTCAATCTCATGCAGTATGCTGCAATGTGTGTGTGAACAAATGACTCTAATGAGCCATTTCAGTTTAGTGAATCATAAACATACAGTTGCTCGACTCCTGAATGGATTACACTTAAAAGCTGGGTCTTTTAAGGGAACTGAATGCTAACAATGTTCATCGACTTATTAGATTTAAACCACTTCAGTAACTTTATTTTGACAAGATTATGTACGTTTTATAATAATTTGTCTCTGTCTGTCTGTCTGTCTGTCTGTCTGTCTGTCTGTCTGTCTGTCTGTCTATCTCTGTCTGTCTGTCTGTCGTTGTATCTATCTATCTATCTATCTATCTATCTATCTATCTATCTATCTATCTATCTATCTATCTATCTATCTATCTATCTATCTATCTGTCTGTCTGTCTGTCTGTCTGTCTGTCTGTCTGTCTGTCTGTCTGTCTGTCTGTCTGTCTGTCTGTCTGTCTGTCTGTCTATCTATCTATCTATCTCTGTCTGTCTGTCTTTCTGTCGTTGTATCTATCTATCTATCTATCTATCTATCTATCTATCTATCTATCTATCTATCTATCTATCTATCTATCTATCTATCTATCTATCTATCTATCTATCTATCTATCTGTCTGTCTGTCTGTCTGTCTGTCTGTCTGTCTGTCTGTCTGTCTGTCTGTCTGTCTGTCTGTCTGTCTGTCTGTCTGTCGTTGTATCTATCTGTCTGTCTGTCTGTCTGTCTGTCTATCTATCTATCTATCTATCTCTGTCTGTCTGTCTGTCGTTGTATCTATCTATCTATCTATCTATCTATCTATCTATCTGTCTGTCTGTCTGTCCGTCCGTCCGTCCGTCCGTCCTTCCATCCATCCATCCATCCATCCATCCATCCATCCATCCATCCATCCTTCCATCCATCCTTCCATCCATCCATCTATCTAGAGATATACCATGTTTTCCTTTGCTGAGGTTGCTTATTAATGTTAGCTGATTAAGCATTCTGGTCTCACATTGGCTACTTGAGAACCTTATTTGCCATACTTTATCTCTCTGGAAACACACACACACACACACACACACACACACACACACACACACACACACATTGTCTGGCCACGTCTGTTGAAATCCCATTAGTCTGTGGTGTCCTGCTCCATTAGTCTACATTTAATTAGTGTCCACTGTCATTAGCGTGGGGCGCTAAAGCAAAGACTGTGACAAATTTATCATATTTACTTATTAACATGCACACAGTCAGTGCCTGGACATAACCTGCTTAAACACACAATGTCTGTATGTTTGTGGGAGGTGTGTGCAACATCATGTATTCCTTACAGTTTGGGGACCACACTGTACATACCACCTTGCCAAATATTAGCAATATCAGTAAATTGTGGGGACGTTTTATGGTCCCCATGAGGAAAATGGCTCATAAATATATCAAATATTTAGAAAATGTAAATGCATTTTGTCTTCTGAGATTTGGATTTAGGCGTAGGGTTGGTGTAGATGGATAGAGTATGCAGTTTGTGCTGTATAAAAATAAATAAGTCGCCTTAAAGATAGCTGTACAAGTGTGTGTGTCCATTAGCAGACAGAATTTGAGGGTTTTGTTTTGGCAGGCTTGTGTTCTTGTCAGTGTTCACAGGGTCAGATTGTGCTACAAGGCCCCTCAGCTAATAGCAGCTAGCATTAAGA